TGACCTCTGCTTGAAGGTTTAGAGCTGTCAGAGGGAGTAACTGTGCTGTGGCCATAACGCTGTGCATGCCCACAGAGGAGAACTGGGTTTTCATCCCGTACTGGGACGGAACACGTCGATGCTTTGATCAATGTTTTAAATAAGAACACGATGTTTGACCAGTTCTGATATTCTTTCATCTCACTCATCAATGCTGTGATGAAACCTGTGTTGGAGATCAAATGCACCTTACCTTCAAGGCTTTCTGTTTCAACTCTAAGAATCATGAATATAGAAAAGCCTGATGTTGATTTTATTTTTTTATTTGTATGGGAGAACTATCCAGACTATAGCACATGCACCGGCATAAGAAATCCCTCGCAAAAGGATATGGATTTAATAAAGTAAGAGAAGTAAAGCAGGCAATTAACCACAGACTGAAAGATTAAACAATAATCCACTTTACACTGTGGCTGCAGCTGAATCATCCTTACAGTAAACCAAAGTCTGAGAATGGGCTCCTTTGTAAAAATAACATTTTTATATACACACACACACACACACACACACACACACACACATATATAACAATTCTTTCTACCACAAAGGATGTAAAATTGTGAAACGCTTAGATATTGATTTCTTTTCTGCACTGGTCTGTTTTATTACAAGAGAAAGCCAAGCTTCTTAGGGAGACAGTCCATACTCAGGAGCTGGGACTGTGTGGTGATGGTGCGAGACTTTACCTAGTAGACCATGGAGCACGTTTTTCTTGTATTTTTTTTCTTGTGAAATACTGTTATTTCAAATTTAGCATCATCTTATTTCTACATTTACGTTTCCTATTAGTTGGTTTTTGTATTTGATTTGATCCAGTTTTAGTGTCCTTTCAGGAGAAGCTAATGACCCGCCTGTGATCATGTTTAAATATCCCCAAAAGTTGATTCTGTTCATCTGGACGTAGCGTTTTCACTCATCCAGGTGACTTCTTCAGTCTCAGCTGACTCCAGGTTCATCTTATGACCAGTACATTGCAGCGGTTGTTGGTCAATGGTCATGAGAATTTGCATATTAATGATGAAGGAACCGACCTCCCAGCCCATTGTTCCTTCAGTTGTTTGTTTACTTTTAAAAGACAACGTTGAGATTAAAAATAGGTTCTGATGGCTTGCTTGAATAAAAAGGCAATATTTTTTTGAATTGTCATTTTCTCTATCAATCACACCGTGGATGTTATGTTAAACAGGCTACTTTTTGAAGAAAACCAGAGGTCTTCTTATTAAATGCCATGAGATCATTCATAATGATAATTATGTGATGATGGCAGGGCTAACCATGCGTCCCTTCCAACAATACTCAGACAGCATATTTAAAAACTATTAGACTTTGGCAACACTGAGCATGAGATGACAGGAATTTGAGTAATTTGTTCAGAAAGTGCTTTTTTTTTCATTCATATTTCTACTCTAAATAATTTCTATTTCCATGTAAAATCTAGATTTTTTTTGGATTATTGCAATAAGAAAGCTTGCCTTGTCTGGAGCCCAAGCATAGCTTAATCGCGGCTCTCAAAGGGGAAATTGTAATTGCACGGAGTGAGAGCCAAGTTTGTAATTTAGTGTAAAACACAAAGTGCCTATGAAAACAACAGCCAATTACACTGAAAACAATACAAATGTGCAACAATAGCCAAACTGAGAATCAGGGATAATTATATGTGTTAAACAAATAAATACTATAAACTAGCCATGAAGGCAAATTGTGTCTAATAACTGCGGCTCAGTAGAAAAAGTGGAAGCTGTACTGACTAATGCTTCATGTCTCTTTTTCTTACCCTGACACCTTCTTTTATGTATTTTGTGTACTTATAAAAGTCGGCCTGTTTAAGGAAAGCTGGACCTAAATAATATATTTTAATAAGCCCCAAAAAAGATGAAGAAGAAAAACAAAGCTGCATGAAAGTAAAACAAGCAATTTATCGACACTCTTCTATCGGGTATATGAAACAGTTGTTTCGCTCCTTCACAGAGGTCTGATTTTCTGATTTCCAAATACCCATAATTTGCCGATGTCAAGTCGTTACCGCAAATTAAAAACTCATTGAGCAGGAAAACATGCCAGCGTGTGTTCCTGCCAACTCATCTGTTCATAGTGACAACTGGCATCCATCATTCATCCACAGGATTTACCGCCAAACGTCTCCAACAGTAAAGTATCAGATACACAGTAATCCCCTTTATAAATCTGACCTATAATTGTTGGCTACATGCAACAGATCACACGCAAAACACAAAAGAGATTATTTTACATTCTCATGTTAGTGCGTCTATTTGGATCAAGGCATAAAAAAACAGGGGGAATGACCACACGTGTTAAATGGAGACGTAGGCTACTGTGACGCTGCAGGCAACAGAAATATAAGTAGGTAATTTTTACCTTGCAGGGTTACACTTTGCTGAATGAATGAATACGATTTGCACCGGCTGGAGGAAGAAACAAACGACATCCTTATTCATGTAATAAGCACCATCCGTCTGTGGCACTCACAGGGAAACTATGGGAGGATTTTTCTTTTTCTCTTCGCTAAGAATCAATAACCTCTCAATGAACTGGTGGGTTCCTGTGGACAATCAGCACTTCAGAATGTGTTGTTTAGCCAATTAGAAAACAGAAGCACCAATCAAGGTCTATTCTCCTCAAAGAAAAGGGGCCACGTCTCAATGGAGCGCACAGGAAGGTAGGTTACCTGCCTGCTTTACTTTCGCTCTACTTTACTCGCATTGTTTAAGAGTCACCAATCTTATCAGTTAAAGTAGAGCGACGGGTATAATTAATTAGGAAATGTTTAGGCGTTACATCAAATAAACGGTGGAAGCAGTGAAAGTGCTCATGTTCAGTTCTGATAATGCATTTTTCTTTACACAAGTGAAGGAAATCTGCCAAAAGGATAAGATTTCTCACTTATTGACTTGCCTCAAGACATTTCTTATTAAAATTGTCATTCTTCTCATTTGTCTTTTTGCGAGACGGCGCAGTAAGCTTCATGTGGTGGCAAGAAGTGGGTCTTCTGTAAATGCTGGACTCTTTTGGAGAAGCCACTAAGGGGTTTGGTTTGGGGCACACTTGACATTTCATCAGGTAAGTATTATAAGGCACTGCATAGTTAAATCAGAAAAAGACCTGCACACAGCAAAAAAATGTAGACTTACCACCACACTTTCACAATCCAGAGTCAGACTTCAATTTACTGCCTTAGTATTGAGAGCTTGATATGGTGGTTTTCTTTCTCTGTGGTTGGAGAAAGGGGGGAAAAGCTGTCTTGGACACCTTTGCTAAACTAAATGTTTCTCTGCTGATCAGGAATAAACCTGTGCCAACTGTGCGAGTCCACCTCGTGGTGAAGATGAAGACCTTACTCGGCAGAACGGCTGAAAAACGAAAGTCGCACACGTAAAAGGTCAAAGTTGAAGAGAAACACCTCAACCGCAAATGCCGAGGGTCAGCGCCGCGAGCCAAAATAAACCGCCGAAATCAACCCTGTAAACAATCACGATCCCATCAATCAGTCACCGGGTTGATTGTGTTCACAACGACAGAGAGAAACAGTGAACTACAGACTTGGCCCCGCGCGTGAAATACTATACAACACAAGCTGTTCTCCATCTGGAGAGATGTCAGACTCGTCTGCCTCACCGAGCCATGACAAGCTACATTAGAAGCAGTCATTTCACACCACATTCGATTGGATTTGGTAATTCCACCTTTACATGTCCAAACACAAAAAAGAAAATTAAAAAGAATTGCCCCTGATGGCCCCGCAGCTGTATTCAAAATACAGAAAATCATTTATTTAAAAAAATAAAGAAAATAACCTGAATACTTTGCAGGTGTAGCTGCCGGGGAAAGCACATGTACCAACAGAAAAAAAGAGTAGGAACCTACTTCTTTATCTTGTATGGAGTTTCGTATCGCACACAACTATTTAGAGCGCAGCCCCCCAAGGCTAAGATTACAGCTCTGGATTGGATTCAACTCTTGCCCTCTCCCAGTGAAGCTATTTGATGAAAGGCTTGGCAAAGGCCACATCCAAGTGTGGTGGAGTTTTCTTCCCCCCTTTTTTAATTCACTTAAACTATATGAGGTCCTGGACCAGACTGGTCGTGTGGTTGTAAATAACCTGTGGTGTCCCAGAGGGTGGCATGCTGCAGGCTGTTGTGCTTTGCACGCATTTTTTCAGAGCGCTAAAACCACACTCTGGGTTCCCAGGGCTCAACAGTATCAATTAGAGGCAGCTTGTGAAAAGATGTGCTTCCTCCGTTGCTGTGGTCTGGTAAGAGGTAGGAAGTGAGGGAAGAGAGAGGGAGGAGGCAACTCGTACTGCTGGGACTGTCCGGGTCCGCAAGAATTCAGTCTCCAATTTGCTCTGTCAGCTTCTCCATCCACATATATAGAAAAGGAGTGCAACAACTCATAAACAAGCAGTCCTTCTCAATTTCCTTTTTCTCATCTGAACTGTGCAATAATCTGTCCTCCGTACAACCTCAGCTCAATGGCAAACAGCACACAACTTCAGAATATGTGCCACAAAAGGCTTCTGTTAAGTCCCAGTGTTATAGTGATGGGATTTCCGGCTCTTTTTAGAGATCCGGCTCTTTCGGTTCGGCTCACTAAAAAGAGCCGGCTCTTTCGGCTCCGAACCGGCTCTTCAGGTTGTTTTGTTGCTTTAATTAATTTATTATTAACAATAATATAAAATTATGCACAAAAGGAATTACTAACATAAAAACAAGTGGTTTTATTTATATATGTTTATATATAAATATATGCGGTGGCCCTGAAGAAAATATAATCTGATCAAACATTATTCAGCTTTAAATATTGTTCAGCTTTAAAGTTACTGTGCAACTGTGTAATAAAAATGTGTGCTCACGACTTTGGCCTTGAGAGCGATAAGAAGCGATCGCCTCATCCTGCAGGCGAAAGATATCTGCAAGCGAAGAGACTAGAACACCCAAGGCCGATTTCCTTTTATGGAGTTGTTTTTCTGCTAATGCAGCACTTTCCTCACAACCCCCTCCTGTAAGTTTTAGAGAATATATACCCATCCTCACAGCAAATATTTGGAATCTTTTGATGTGAGCTGTTTTGAGAGGTTGTCTCTGTCTCAATAAAAGTTCACTGATTCCCCATCTGCAGCAGGTGTCCGGTTGTCTTCATTCTCCGCCAGCCTGGTTAAGTCTATTCCTCCTTAACATCTAAAAGAACCTATTTAATGAAGGAAGACGGGTTCACTTTGTGTTTAATATTATTCTATTGCTGTTGTTGTATTTTTTTATATCCTTCAATTGGCGTCACGAACAGGATCCGCTCCAGGTCAAACTGGAACGGGAGGGAGGACATCGGCCGTGGTCTGAGTGAACGGAGTTTGGACAAAAGCTGTGTACACACAAAAAACAAGGTAAGCAGACCTTTTATTTCTGCTATATTGAACATTATAAAAATACTTAGTGTCCAAACTCCTAGTAATTCATAACCAAAATTGTCTGGCTTACTTAAGGCTTGTTGAGAATCAGACAAGTGAATAAGAGATAAGTGAATAAGAAATAAGTGAATAAGTGAATAAAGATAAGAGTGAACTGAGGTCTGACCACGGTTGCAGCCGACGGGTTTGCTCTCCGGTGTCGGATAAATACCTCAGTGCAGGTCTGGGACCTTGAAAGGGTTTATTAGTAACGCCTTTCTAAACAAATTAAAAGGTTAAAGGCCTTGAGAATATTTTTTAGTAATATTCTCTAAACTACAGAAGGGTTAGGAAGGCCCAGAGGACTTTATTAGAAAAGATCCTCTAAAACTTAAAAAAGAGAAGTACTGGTTGGAGTCCAAAGGACGGGTCCCTTTGATCAATAGGAGAAAACGGATCTCTTCTTAAAACCCCGATGATTTTAGTGTTTTAAATGTTTTGATGTTCTGTTTGATATTGGACACACATAAATACACGCTGAATGCTTGCTGTGGAACACTGGGCAGGACAGTTTGGTTCTCCGTTGTTCACAGATTACACAATTAAAGGAACTAGGTTCCTCTTTTGGTTAAAATAATACACCACACATAGAATTTTTTTACACATTTATTACATACATAAGGAGGGTAATGAGTGACTGCAGGTAATGTATGAAGTGTGAATGAGACGTGTGAACAAGGTGACAACCAACTAGCACCCCTATCAGGAAGCTCTAGGCAAGGTTACCCGCCAGACTCCGGTTTGGTAGAAGCTTGGTAACACCTGAAGGGATATTTCAGTGCTGACTCACCTTTAAAGCAGCGCCCCAGCTGATTAGTGCCTAACAGAGGCAGAAACCCAGCTGGCCCAAATTCTCCTTTAAAATCAATAAAAGAACACTCCTCCATTGACAGTAAAATGGATGGAGAATTAGATCGAGAAACTAATGATGATGGTTGGGGTCCCGGTGTTATTCTTAGCACATTGGGAGAACAATTAACATGTGTTGAGACAGTTATCAACTCCACACACCAGCCTAAAGAAGCAAAAAAGCAGAAAGAGTCATTGAGGAAAACAGCTGAAAGATGCTTTTAAATTAGTCAAAAATTTAGCAACACCAGCAGAGAAATAGAGAAGTGAGATAAAGTTGTTCTGGCATATGGTGTTTTCTTAGGAATTCGAGCGCTATCGGGAGGGCGTTCCCGAGGTGTGTATTGATCAGCAAGGCTAGGCCTGGGCTATAGGTGCTTTTAAATTAGTCAAAAAGTTAGGGGTAACCTCTTCTGGCATATGTCCATGCGGGCCCGTGTGTAAATAGAACATAAATTACCGGTGTGTGTAAATAAAGTGTAAAATAGTGGTATAAACTGTCTGTTGAATCACTCCTGAGTGTTGAAAAAAGGAAAAACTCTTTTCTGCTCTCTCTGAGAGAGGGGCTGTGTGTGTGAGACAGGAAGTGTGCATGCCCATAGAAGGAAAGAGATGAGGTAAACTCTGTGCAGATAGACCGAAGTAAAAAAAAAAAAAAAAAAAAGGAAAAGGGTCTCTCTCTGTCTCTGTGAGAGAAAAAAGGTGGGGGCCGAGTGAGCCCGCGGGGCCGAGCGGGTCCGCGGGAGCGAGCGTGTATGCTGTATGAGGAAGAAGGGGGTGAGAGGGAGCGAGTGAAAAGAGTAATCGAGTATTTGGTGATTTTTTATTATTTCAGAGGCACTGGGTAAGAGTTTTGACTTTAGCTATGAGAGTTGTGAAAAGAGCAGGTTTTTCTTTTGTTGTAGACTGTGAGTAATCGGTGTTTTTCTGCCTATTGTGCTGCGTGGAAGACACAGAAGTGTAGAAATGTTTGTGGTTTATCTTTGTTTGACGTTTTATATAGAGTTGGTTGATTCAGGGTGATTTCTCCCGTTTAAGGGAGGAGTTGCATTGTGGTTATGTTAAAGCTTTGCTGTAGGGGTATGTGTGTGATTTTGTGCTGGCTTCGCATGTTTAAATGGATGCATAGAAGTTTGTCAGTGAGAAATTGTTATGGTGGGGTTTTAAAGTTAGTAAAGAGTCAAACAACGCCCGCTGTTTTAAAAAGGCCCAAAACATCATAAAAGACACCTCACATCCTGGCCACTCCCTGTTCGAACTGTTGCCCTAAGGCAGACGGTACAGGGCAATCAGAGCAAGGACTAATAGACTCAAACACAGCTGTTATCCAACTGCAATAACACATCTGAATACTACAAAAATGTCCACCATGCCACTCTTGTGTTAATCTATGCACGGTCTGAAGCACGACGTTGGGAATACTTAGTATTTTAAGTATTCTATCTATTTTATTGATTGAATTTTATTGTTTTTTATATTTGATATTACTAGGGATGATGCAATGATCGGGGACCATTCTTAATGTCGTCGGTCTCATGACAATGACAATAAAGTTTTTGATTTTGATTCTGATTCTGAAATACACCCTCCTCAAGAGTTCAATGATTTAGGCAGTTATGTTTATACAAATACTAAATGTATGTTTAGTGTCTTCATACAGGTGTTTTTTCTTAACCTGGAAGCCTGAGTACGGCAGCAGAAGACAGGCCAAGCTTTGGCTAAAATTCACGGCTGGACACCAGAGTTGTCCTCACCCCTCCCGGTAAAACAAAAAAGAGAGAATGTAGTTTGAGGCGGGTTTTTCTTGCTGAACTGCTCTGGGTGCTGTGTCCCTGAATCTCACCGGTGTTAACCTCTGGCGGAAGACATGGAGAAAAGGAAAAGATGTTCCTGGTAAATCACTGAAACAAATAAAACCACACACAACCAGAGAAAGATATGAGAAGGGTGAGGAACAGACACATGTGCGTGTTAGAGAAATGCCTCGTTTGAGAAACAGTTAAAGTAACCCATATACAGACGCACCCATACATGCAATGAAGAAACAGCTTACATACATGTGCACGTACATGCAAGGTTAAAGTAGCGACACTTAACATACACCTGTTTTTAAATGATATAGTTTATACATTACTGACAATTAAACGCTTTGGGTTGCAGGACAACAACGTAACGTCAAAAGACAAAGACACTGGTCTGAGGATTAAGTGAGGACACGACAAATTTAGTGGTTAAAAGGGTCGACTTGGGACATGTTTTTGTTGATTGTTTAAGACAAATGACTACTGAATGATAGGAAATTCCTTTTTAGGTTTCTAAACAGGATCTTAAGAATTTTAGCACGTACCTGTGTTGTCCTGTCAACTTGAGGGGTTATGAGTTGATTATATGGTGAAAAAAAAAAAAAAAAAAACAAAAACAAAAAAGGGGGGAGACGAGATCTCGTTGTTTCTCCCCTCTCGGGATAACACAGCCAACACAGCACAGCCAACACAACATCATTTTCCTGTTCGCCTGTTTTGTTTTGTTTTTGTTTTTTCTGAGAGCCGAAGCTGACCTGGACTCCTACCCTCCCCTCTACCATCGTTGCCCTCTCCGCGACCATCTTTGACCCTTTGACCCCTGAAGGCCACAGCAGCTGGACTCACAACAACAACTTGAGGATGTCAACAGTGCTGCAAAAGAGTGATCTCATGCAGCAGAGACGGAGAGCACTAAACCTAAAGCCCGTTTCACTACACGGGGGAAATTCCCAGGCTGCGTCAGCTGACAGAGCTGTGACGAGACGCGCATTAAGCCCGGAGGAAAAGGGACGGTGAGCAGAAGGATGCTGACCTCTGAGAAGAGCCGAACAGCAGAGCTGCAGAAGGCCGTGGAGCAAAGTAAGGACAACAGAAACAGACCCAAAGAGGAGGGGAGGACCCTAGGCCATGCGTCAGGCCGCTGGTTTACCTAAACTACAGAACAGGAAGGTGATGAACACAAACATATACCAACACACGAACACACACTTCTGCATGCGCCTACTTAGAATGAAGGGAAACACACACATGAACACTTATGCACTTGTTGAGGGAGTAAAAACTGATACATACCCATGCACTAAAATCAAAATGTTGATTTAATTTACTAAGAAGTGACACACAATGCTCCAGCTGCTGCAATGAAGAATGCTTTACTGACAAAGGCTCAATGCTGCACACAACAAAGTCAAATACAGAATTTGCTATAATAATAAGCCCAGAGGGCATTTGTGTGGTCTGGGGAGCAGAGTCCGGAGCGGTTTGGTTATGAAAATGATGCCCGTGCGAGATATCTGGGGCTTAAGGCCTCGACTTAATTGTTTACTCTACACTAAAAAGAAAAGAAAACACTCTGAGCAGTGGTGCAGAGTGAAAACGAGGAATTAACAGTGTGAGTTTTATTTCAGAGCGCCACGTCATTGTGATGGAGATTTAATAAAGGAGGAACACACGGACAAAGAAGAAGAGAAGGGGGGCAGCCCTTGAACGCGATTGCCTGAGGCATTAAAGTTCTGTGCTAAATTCTGGTTTCCAGTGTGAGAAAAGTCACGCAGTGCCAGTAGTAGAGCTAGGTTGAGTGATGATTCTAAATTACTGTAAGTAAATCATCGTACACCGTTCAAGTTTCATGATAACGGGGATCTAGACTTTGTTGAACCCTAGGCAATTTGAACAGGTAAAAGTCGAGTGGCCAAGTAGCAGTTGAATAAAAGTCATTGAATAAGTGTTGAAATAAACTGGCAGAATTAAGAGAATTAAAACATTTCAAGAGCTCAACTTACTTAATGGTTCAATTTTGTTTCACGAACGCAAAACATATAGGTTTATGAATATGAAAAGGTTGAGGTGGTGTTGATTTGACTCTGTGTAGGTTTAGGTTGGTACTTTTATTGATGGGAAGAATATTCAGTGACAAGTCCTAAGACCCGGGCGTCTGCATTTTGTTTTTGTTATTTTTCATTTTATTTTGTTTTATGTTTACTGATTTTTGTTTGTGAATCTTACCATTTACATTTTCTTCCCTACAGGGTTACAGTTTTAATGTTTTTCTATTACAGGATTTCTGGGCGGATGTGTGAAGAAACGGTGTTTATGGGTTAGGAGTTGGGGATGCTATTACACTGTATTCTGGTGAGAGTGTTGGGGAGACACACCCTGTCTTGAAAACTGTGATTCTTTTACAGGAAATGTTTTATAGCACCTATGGAATGAGGATGTCTGACTACGGTCAATGTGCTGCTAATGTTTGCTTTGCTTTGGTGAGAGGGGTGCAGTAGAAAACAGACAAGTGACATGACAACAAGTAATAATAACAGATAACAAATTTGGGGACAGTTTGACCTAGAGCCCACTAACTGGCCATTAGGGTCTCTCTCTCTCATTGCCCAAAGGGTGAATAAAGCAAATTGTGGCAATAATAGTGATTTAATGATTGGAGAAACCTGAACATGATACTTGTCTGTTGAGCTGAATCGTTTATTACTCTTATGATTTTCCGGTGGGACTATGAAGATTTTTTGGTACAGATTGCAGGTTGTTGCTCTTTAACTCCTAGAACACGCCCTTGGCGAGGTGGGGGGAACTGGACCACCTTTCTGTGCCCCATCATCCTCTATTAGACGACATCCAAGCTAAGTAAACATGTCTTGGCCCTTTCCCCCTGAAATGACAGGCAGGCAAAGATGTTGCGTCTTTGTTTGCTTCCTGGCCCTGGGTCTCATTCCCATTGGCATAATCCTGATCTGTGAAGGGCCCCCGACACTTCTGACACCTTAAAGTTCAAAAGCTTGGCCCCCTTCTGACAGTCCCAATCTGACAAATGTAGCCCGTAGGGTCTTGCCCACTACTTCCTCTCCAGTTTTACCATATTCACTTTTGAATGTCCTTAGCAGTTACCGTTCTGAGTTTATTTTACGGTTGATTTATTTTTTCACATTTTCACGTTTATATCTCTCATTATTATAGTATACTCTGTACTCTCCACATTTTTATCATTACTTATGCTTTTTGGTTGCTGAGTTACAGGAACTGTTAATTTTGTGTCACTACCCTGGTTGCACTAACTCGTTGTACCCTTGTGTGCAGGACAGCTGTTACTGCTTTCATCGGGAACCGAGACTGCTTGCAGCCGACCCCTGGGCAGGGTGGTGCCTGGACTCTTTTCTCCTCATCTGCAATGACAGATAAAGACAAATGATAAGACCCGAGGAGTTTTTCGAGCCAGGCTTCGACACGTCTCTGTGTTCCTTTGAATGTTACTTATTTTTGTGTGTTGACCCATTTAAGATGGGTCAAAAGGGGGATTTGAAGAAAATATAATCTGATCAAACATTATTCAGCTTTAAATATTGTTCAGCTTTAAAGTTACTGTGCAACTGTGTAATAAAAATGTGTGCTCACGACTTTGGCCTTGAGAGCGATAAGAAGCGATCGCCTCATCCTGCAGGCGAAAGATATCTGCAAGCGAAGAGACTAGAACACCCAAGGCCGATTTCCTTTTATGGAGTTGTTTTTCTGCTAATGCAGCACTTTCCTCACAACCCCCTCCTGTAAGTTTTAGAGAATATATACCCATCCTCACAGCAAATATTTGGAATCTTTTGATGTGAGCTGTTTTGAGAGGTTGTCTCTGTCTCAATAAAAGTTCACTGATTCCCCATCTGCAGCAGGTGTCCGGTTGTCTTCATTCTCCGCCAGCCTGGTTAAGTCTATTCCTCCTTAACATCTAAAAGAACCTATTTAATGAAGGAAGACGGGTTCACTTTGTGTTTAATATTATTCTATTGCTGTTGTTGTATTTTTTTTATATCCTTCAGCCCCTAGAGACAAAACACGTACAAACTCCAAAACACATTTCTAGCATGAACTGAACTTCCAAAGCAGAGCTACTAGATCACTTAAATTACACAATTGAAAGCATGTGTGTATTGTTTGTGTATTTATACACAGGCA